AAGAAAAAACAACCGGAGGGGAAAAGAGGCGGGGGAGCAGCGTCTCTAATGCCAGCAATTTAACGCCGCAACGACGCACGATTCCTACAGATATGTGAGACGAGTGCAGAGAGCTACACGAGAGAGAGAGAGAGAGAGAGGGGATTTCTGCTGAGAGAGGAAATAAGTAAAGATGGAGGGGGGTGCGGGGGTTACCTCTGAGAGGGTCCTTTTCGGACGCGTGAGTCAGCCATCCTTACCGAGGAAACAATCGCACGCTTGGATAGCTGGGCTATGATTAGCGGACGTAACTCGTCCCTAAGTAGTTTTTTTTCTCTTCTTTTTCGCTGACGGCGCAGAGTCGGAGGACGTTGTCGTCGGCGCAGCAGAGAGATGGAAGGGACGAGCCGTCGCGCATCGCTCGGGGACGACGAGGATGAGGCGGACATAATCAGGTGGCTTGGCTGGTGGTGACGGCCGTATGAGCGGAGAGGGCGTCGAGAGGATAGGGTGTTGGCTGGGGGTGTTGCAGTCTAGTCGGGGGGTCGTCTCCGGGGAGCAGAAGCAGAGCGGCTGCATCGCGTTTCGGACGCGTTCGCGAGGGCCGCGCTGGGCTGCTTTTGTGCGGACCGCATCCATTAACCTGCATTAGTCTGAGCAAAGCAGGCGGGGCGGGGCGGGGCGGGTTGCTGCAACGCGGCGCCGAGTCTGCTGCGAAGAGCCGCGCGCTATCCCATCATAGAGATCCCCCCGCCGCGCCCGTCGCAAAGCAAGATCCTCCTCTTCAGCAGCAGCTGGGTCGCCCACTGCTGTCACCTACACACCTATCGGATTCCCTGCTGGGGAGCGACTATCGTTGGTGGTGATATTTTTTCTTCCATTTCTTGATCCCTTGGGTGTGTTTTTTTTCTGTTTTTTTTTTCGAACGGGGCGTCCGATCCCCGGGAGCAGCGGGCATTAGTGTAAAGGCCCGTCCCGTCCTGCTGTCCCGTCCCGTCCTGCCCGGCGCGGCGGCCGCCCAGTGCTGCGGCCGAGCGAGTTATGGTCGGGGCCAGGCTCAGGAGAGGGAAATACCCAAACCGGTACGGGGGGCGATGCGTTAAAACTAACGACAACCGCGCGCAGATATTAATGGCATCTCTTATTGCCCCGGAGAGTGTTTCCTCCTCTCTTGTGCCTACGGAAGGAATCCGCTGGACGACGAAGTGTTATGAGAGATTGCTTACTCTCCGCACGGTCCAGCAGGTGATGTTTGCCGTGAGGTTGCTTTTGCTGTGGTGCAGGCCGGGCCGGGCGGGCGTGGCACGACCGGCGGACTGGTGGACGGGGAACGGGCGCGCCGCTGCGGTTGACTGAGGCTCGCGGCGGCGGGGCGGCGGCAGGGTCCAGTTAGTTAGTCTGTTAGTTATTCGCAGAGGTCAGAGCGATGAGAAGAAGATGACAATCGGCATTCCGGGGTCGCCGTGGGGAGTCGACGACTGGAGCTGGGTGACTACACCAGACCAGCATCCGACGGGATGGACCAGTTGAGCTAAGACCAAGCAGCGGACACCTCCTTCCCTGTCTTCTTCTTATATTTCCCTCTTCCCTGTAGTGATTCCTTCCTCAACCTCTTTTCCAGCATTCACTAAACTAATCTATTCATTCAGATACTACACTCAGAATAGGGTGTACCTTGTAACAAAGCAAAAGTACTCGTTGCAGCAAAAATAACATCAAGTTTGCGTAAGCTCACTTTGGACTTGTGATAAAACTCAACATACTACCTTGCAGCAATGCAAAAAACGCCTCGTTTTTGAATCACAAGTTTCGCGGAGATTCAAAGTATAGCCTTTCCCGAGTGTGTGGTCACAAGGGACGGACTTCAGCAAGAGCGTGCGTTCTGTGCGGTTCCGTGCGATGGCAACGTAACGCACCCGCAAAGGCAAAAAAAAGGACGAAACAAAAAAATAATAGTGCACAAGCCGCCATCCTAGAGAGGCTTTAACCTGTCATTTTGTTGTCTCAGTTCCGGTGCGCGAGGCGCGAGGCAAAACAATGAGTCTTTGACAGAGTGTGAGTTATTAGCGTTGCGTAAGGATTGAACTGGAATCGCAGTCTGTCGGTGGCGGGGGAGGTGGAGGAGGGGGCTGGGAGCCGCGGCGAGGAAAGTGATGACGGGTGCCTGACGCGGTGAGAGGCGGGGGAGGCGGCGGAGTGGGGGAACGGTGCCCCGCCACGCCCCAGCTTACTACTTGAAGCAAGGCACGCAGTTCAGCAAAGCTTAATTCTTCTTGAACCTTATTTTGAACCAGCTTATACCCTCTCCCTTTCAACCGCCGAGCTGTATGGTATGCCCATTGTTTTGCTACACCTCATGCTACAAAAATGTTCGACGCGTACTAACGGTCAAGTTCTGTCGTTTTAGGGGGGTTCCCTCTCTACTACCCATGTTCCTATGCAGCGATGAAACAACGAAAGTCGGTGAAGGGCGTGAAGTAAGTAAGTGAGAGAGAGAGACAGAGATAAACAGAGAACTCCGAGACAAGCGTATCCAAAGCCGTGTTTAATCCCCCCTCGCCGCGCCGCTCTTCTTCTCGCGCCTCTCTGCTGCTGCTCCACGATCATTTGTCAATACAAATAACACCACTTGTATTCATTGCCTCTCCGCGGGCGCGGGCGCCGCGCGGGGGAAGGTTTCGTGGAACGCTGCACACCGGGCCGCGGGGCCGGGGGCCGGGCACCGTGGTGCGCCAGGGATGCGATACTAATTTGGCAGCTCGCGCGCCCGCGGGCCACGGCCAACGAGAATGATGATGATGATGGAGATGACGCTGATTCTGATTGAGTTGATTCATTCTGCCGTCATACTCACCTCGTCGTGCCCATGGACCGCGCTGCTCTGCTCTCGCTGCCGCGGCCGCGCGCTCCCGTAGACACAAGGGCTGCGTTAAATAACCGTGACAGTGTGCGCGCGCGGCTTTTTGATTCAACAGCAACGTGGCTCCGACTCATTCCACAGAGGGCGCTAACCGCTCGGCAGACGCGCATATTCTCTCCACCACGAGTAAAAAAGAGGGTGAGAAGGAGAGGGTAGCGCGATGTACAGCAAATATCAAACTCGCGCTATCGCTATGCCTCGATATTCTCTAAATACCTCGATGCCGACTCGATGTCGTTATCGTGTGTGTAGCCTGGATATCGTCAGAGCCCTAGGTTATGGCTGCGCCTTTACAACGACATCACCCTTCAAGGTCGCGGGTTCAGATCTCCACTTTGGCCTGCGCGGTGCCGTTGCACCCGACATGACAGAATGATAAAAGTCGGGCCGGCCGTTGTTGAGTGTCCGTCGTTAAAGCAATAACGGATGGTGCTCTTGAGCGTCTGCCTCCGCCGGCTACGTATACGACCTGCCTCAACAACACTGCCCGTGTGTCCCACAGGGCGGCAAGGTGCACAAGGAGCTGGTGTTTCGGCCGCCGATCGAGGCGCTCGACCAGGACGTGGCCATCGACGCGGCGGTGCGCTACGACATCATCGCGGGCAACGAGCGCCGCCTGTTCCGCCTCGACCCGCGCAACGGCTCGCTGTTCCTCGAGCGGGAACTGGACCTGGACGCGGAGCGCACGCTGCCCGGCAACACCTTCTCGCTCACCGTGCAGGCCGCCCAGGTGGACAACCCGCTCAAGGCGGGCGTGGCGCGCGTCGAGGTGGAGCTGCTCGACATCAACGACAACCTGCCCGAGTTTGAGGTGGACCTCTACAACATTAGCATCGTCGAGAACCTCCCCAATGGCTTCAGCGTGCTGCAGGTCATGGCCACCGACAAAGACCAGGTACGACTTTTACTTTCAATTCAACGATTTTTCTGTATTCCCTTTTTGTTTGTGTTTTTCTTATTTTTAATTGATTTTTTTTCGGAGGATTCAGACTGATTTTTTTGATTGAAGTACCCCTTGACTTCTACCCAATTCGAACGGTCACTGAGTTTCTGTCTTGATCGCAGGGCGACAACGCGTTCTTCACGTACCAGCTGGAGGACCCTCTGCAGGCGTTCAACATCGACGCGCGCACCGGGTGGCTGACGGTGCGCGACCAGGGCCGCCTGGACCGGGAGAAGCAGCCCACGCTCACCATGCACGTGCGCGCCAAGGAGAAGACGCCCTCCGTGGTGCGCGGCGCGACCGGCGACGAGAACAGCTCCTCGGTCAACGTGACCGTCACGCTGCTCGACGCCAACGACAACAACCCCTCGTTCGTTCCCAGTAACCTGTACGAGTTCACGGCCTACAACGACGCCGCCGTCGGGGACGTCATCGGGCAGGTAAGTCTCGAGCGGAGCCGCCGTATCCACCGTACTGGTCGCCAACAAGGTGTTCATCACCTTGTGCGCTGTGCTCCAGGTGAAAGCCGTCGACCCCGACCTCGGCCGCAACGGCATGGTGCTCTACGACGTGCAGCGAACGGGGAACCTCTCGTCGACCGCGCTGCCCTTCGTGGTGGACGCCCAGACCGGGGAGGTGTCGGTGGCGGACGCGCCGCTGTCCCCGGGGAGGCACGCGCTCTTCGTCGAGGCGTCCGACCAGCCGGCCAACCCGTCGGAGAGGCGTTTCTCGCTCGCCGTCATCTCGGTCGACGTCCTGAAGGCCGGGCGCAGGGACGGATCGCAGGGCGAGCAGGTCCCCGACTTCGTCGGCGCGCCCTACGAGTTCTGGGTGGGCAGCAACGTGGCCATCGGCACCAGCGTCGGCCAGATCAGGGTGACCGACTCGCCCGACTCGCGGAAGGTGCTCTACGACCTGCTGCACTCGTACCACGAGGGCGGTGAGTACTATGAGTCGAACGAGATTTTCTATGTTTGTTGGCTCCGTACTTCGTTATTTTTGGCTGACTATTTCTATCCTTGACATTGCAGTGCCCTTCGCTGTGGAGGAGCGCTCCGGCACCATCACGGTGGTGGCGGACATGCGCAAGTTTGAGCGGACGCTGTACGACTTCGAGGCCGTGGCCACCGACTCGAGGGACATGGTGCTCGTCACTAATGTCACTATCCACGTCGTCCATCCCGAGGACGAGGTTGCAACCCTCTTCAAGTGAGTTCCACTTCTATCTAAGGCACCTGTTGCGTTGTCCGTTGTCGTCATGTCCTAACCGTGTGGGTGTGGACTTTCTAGGGGCGCCAACGGGGCCGCGCGACGCCCCATGGAGTTCCGGGTGCGGGAGAACCTGGCCGGCGCGCTGGTGGGCCAGCTGCTCGCCCCGGGCAGGAACGTGACGGGGCTTAACGTGACGGACACCAAGGCGGCCACTGGACCGGCTAGTAAGCTGCGATTCGTCATAGCCAACCAGCAGGACGTGGCGGAGCGGTGAGTGCGGGCCTCTGGCCTCCTGCCCCACGCGGGTCTCCACTTCAGTCTTAACCTCGGTCTCCACCTAGGTCTCCACTCATCTCTTGATCTCCGTTCACAGGTTCGCCATCTCTGCGGACGGCACTCTATACACACAGCGGGGCCTGGACCGCGAGGAGCGGGACTCCTACCGGCTCACGGTCATCGCCGAGAACGCCAAGGGGCTGGTGCGGGGCTCGGGCGTCTTCCAGGTAGGCGTCGTCGTGGAGGACGAGAACGACAACCCCCCGGCCTTCGACCGTCCCTCTTACGAGGGTCGCATTGCGGAGAATGCTGCTGACGGTGCGGAGGTGAGCCTGGACGCAGAGGTGCACGCGAGGGACGCGGACACCGGCAGCAACGCGCAGTTCACCCTGTCACTGTACGGCGAGGGGAGGGACGTGTTCGCCTTGGACGCAGCGACGGGGAAGTTGACGTTGCGCGCCGGCCAAGTGCTCGACCGGGAGGCCCGCGCCGTGTACCACCTCCGGGTGATCGCACGCGACAAGGGCGGCCTCACGTCCGAGGCCGCGCTCACCGTGCACGTCGATGACGTCAACGACAACGCTCCGCGCTTCACGCGCATGACGCTGCTCCAGGACGAGGGCATGGACGTGGAGGCGGACGAGCCCGAGGAGAACGACATCTTGGTGGTGGATCACAGCGAGGCCAAGAACACGTCCTTCACGGCTCCGTCGCGCGCTGGCCGAGGCCAGCACCTGCTGCCCGTGGTGAGCGTGCCCGAGTCCGTGGCCGTGGGCACGCCGCTGGTGCGCCTGCTGGCCGAGGACCGCGACACGGGCAGCAACGCCGCCGTCACCTACGCCCTGGTGTCCGAGGCGCAGGTGCCCGGCGAGGCCGCCCCGCTCGCCCCAGCGCACGGACATTTCAAGCTGGCGCCCTCCACGGGGGAGATCCAGGTGACGCGGACGTTGCCGCCCGAGAGCGAGTTCCACCTCAACGTCACGGCGACGGATGGCGGCGGCCTCAGCGACAGCGTGCTGGTGAAGATCTACGTCCGGGACGTGAACGATCACGCCCCTGCCTTCGTGCGCTCGTGGTATACTTTTGACTTGGCCGAGGGCGTGTACACTAACCACGTGCTGGGGCGGCTGGAAGCGGTGGACGCTGACTTCGGAGCGAACGCCAATATCTCGTACTACATCATGCAGATGCAGACTTACGACGACTACTCCACACTGCCCTTCCACATCAACGAGCTCGACGGCACACTCACCGTGGACGGCGACATCGACCACGAGGCCAGGGACTCGTACTCCTTCCAGGTGGTGGCGCAGGACCACGGCCTGGCCGATGAACGCAAGCGTAGCTCCGTGGATGTCGAGATCCACGTCTCAGACATCAACGACAACCCGCCCATGTTCTTCGGCTACGACCGCATCGCGCAGGTGACCGACGATGACGGCAACGCCGCCTTCGTGCCCGTGTACTACGCGTCCGTCGTAGAGAACAACCCGGCCGGACTTGTGGTCGCACGCGTCTTTGCCAACGACTCCGACTTTCAGGTATGTAGAGCAATGACGAAAATGAAAAAGCCAAAAAGATTGCCCAGAAAGATTGTCAAATTATTTTTACTTATTTTTATGTTTATGTGTCCAGGGTAACGGAAACGGGCTGGTGCTGTACGACATCCCGCGGCGTCAGGACAGAGAGGACTTCTTTAACGTGGACTCCAAAGAGGGCGTTGTGACGACCAGTGCCAAACTGGACTTCGAGACGCAGGGGACGCACAACGTGACCCTGGTGGCGCGTGACCTGGGCATCCCCAGCCTCAGCGCCACGGCTCTCCTGGTGGTCAGCGTGGTGGACGTGCCGGAGACGCTGGAGGACTCGCTGGGCCCCATGTTCCTGCATCGGTACTACGAGGTAGGTCTTCAGTGTTTTCATCCTTTTCACATCACCACTGCGCTATCCGTTGCTGAGCAGAGCCCTCCTGATGTGCCGCAGGTGGAGGTGGAGGAGAACTGTGCCGTGCCCATCGCACTGCTGGCGCTCAACGTGACGGAGGCGTACCGGGGCTTCAGCCTGCGCTACAGCCTGGTGCCCAACAAGCGCGCGGCCAGGGGCCTGGCGCCCTCCCCCGCCTCCAGCGCCGCCCCGGCCGCCTCGCAGCGCAGGGCCTCGGTCCTCTCGACCACGGCCGCCTCCATGCCCCCCGCCATGTTCCGCGTGGACCCGCGCAACGGCACGCTGGTCCTCACCGAGAGCCCCGACCGCGAGCTGCGCAGCCGTTACGAGGTGACGGTGCGCGTCGACGTCAGCAAGAAGGGCCGCGCCCTCACGAGCCCCGCGCACGTCGTGTACCCCGTCAACGAGGACCGGCTGACCGACCTGGCGCCCAACGAGGTGAAGGTGGTGGTGCGCGTCACGGACGTCAACGACAACCCCCCGCGCTTCACGGTGAGCGGCCGCCCCATCGTGGCGGCGATCCCGGCCACGGCGCACTACGGCTACCAGATTGCCCGGCTGCAGGCCAAGGACCCCGACGAGGGCCTCAACTCCGAGGTGCGATACCAGATCCTGGACCGCGTCGACGACGAGTCGCACAAGTTCGCCGTGGACCCCGTGACTGGGCAGGTCCGCTCCATCGTGAGCTTCTCTCGGGACGCGGGCCGCGTCTTCGGCTTCGACGTGCGCGCCACGGACCGGCGGGGCGCCGACGACGGCAAGTCGGCCATCGCCAACGTCTTTGTAAGTAGTCACACCCACGAAATGTGTGGTAATGTACATCTGAAACCAGCAGCTAACCGCCTTTCATAAATGCCCCGCCCGCAGGTGTACGTCCTGGACGAGGAGAAACAGCTCGTCATGCTGATGGCGGCGCGACCCGTCGACGTGGAGACGAGCATGGAGAACATCACGACCATCCTGTCCAACGTGACGGGCATGGACGTGCGCGTGCGCAAGCTCCAGCCTCGCATCGACGACTCGTTCTACAGCCCCGCGTCAGTGCCTTTAACCATGCCGCCTTGCCCGCCCTTGCCCCAGTGTGTTCTGTCGCCTTACTAAACGCTGTCTGATTATCCTTCAGGACCGACCTGTACCTGTACGCCGTGGACCCCGTCATGAATGTCATCATCGACATGGACACGCTCTCCCAGTGAGTATAGACCAAGTTGAACTCCACCAGCCGCGCCGGGCCAGCCGGGCGGAGCGGTCTGGCAGGGGTGGGGTAGGCCAGCCCGCGGGACATTGGTGTGCTACGGGTCTGCCTACCCGACAGGCGGCCACATGGGAGAGAGTCGCGTGGATGCAGAGTAACATAGAACCTCTTGCCCACAGCATGCTGACCACGCAACAGGCCGAGCTGCGTCGACGGCTACCCTCACTGCGCGGCGTCGACCTGGTCGGCGGAGGACTGGAAGTGTCGCGCGCCGAAGCGCACGCGCTGTCCGCCCTGGAGGTGGGCGTCGTCGTCCTGGGCTGCGTCGTGTTCCTGGGCGCGCTGACGGCGGCCGTGTGCGTGGGCTGCGTGCGCCGCTTCCGGCACCGCAAGGGCGGCAAGGGCAAGGACAAGCTGGGCGGGTTCGCGCACCAGACGCCGCTCACGCTGCACCACAAGGGCCCCGGCGGACTCTACCCGGGCACCACGCCGTCCTTCTTCAGCCTGACGGCCAACACCAGCCTGGGTCCGCCGGGGATGCCGCAGGGTCTGCCGCCGCACCCAGGGCCCGCCCTGTCCAGCGTTGGCGGCGGCGGCGACACGACCGATACGTACGTGGAGATGCACTCCAACAAGTCGTCCAACTGCAACAAGCGGCGATACCCGACCAGCCAGCGCACGCGGGCTTCACGCTCGGCCTCAGCCCACCACCGGCACCAGCACGAACCCACCTGCACCCGCCACAGGCGGCACCGGCACCAGCGCAGGCCCAGCAACGCACAGGTTACTAACGTGCTCAAAATCAATTCAAATTCATCTCGAACAGATTTATTCAGTTATTATTTTTCTTTTTACGATGATTTCCGAACTCTGAACCCAGATCCAAATTACTTGGGAGAACCTTTTCGATTAAATTAGGCATATATTTTTTCAAATTTTAAAACTTGACATAAGTTTGTTTATACAATTTAACACCCTCGCTGTTTTGATATTACCTCCCACGGAAATGCACAAATCTCATGGCGCTTTTGTAGGTATGTTCTTTGCTACGGTTGATTTTCTTACGATTTGGCTCTCTCTTTTCAATGTGTATATTTCTTTCCTCGATTGTGTTGAAGCATCGAGCTTCTTCCAATATTGTAGAAACGGGCGTTGCTATTTTAGTCGCTTTGCGCCTTTGCTTGTGCTTTTCGAATGTCGAGTAAGGGCACTCTGTTGGAATGGCTGATTCCCATTACATGCTTTCCTTCTGAGTCTGTCATTAAACTGTATGGTTTCTTTCGGCGCGCAGGGTTTGCATATGGCGCGCTCCAACTCCAACGCAGGTTTCGACGTGGGTCTGGGCTCGTCGGCCGACTCCGGACAGATCCTGTTCGAGGAGCGAGACAGGGAGCTGGGCTGCTGTCCCTGTGGACACTCACCGTCGCACTCGTCAGCAGAGAGCTCCAAGTGAGTCCATCGAGTTGGTAGCACTGTGGCGCTTCCCTCTGCAGTACTAATAACCAGTCGGTCCTCAGCGGCAGCTACGAAGACTCGCTCAAGTCCTCCCGCCGGCCCTGCGGCATGTCCCACGCCAACACGGCCACGGTGTCGCGCACGAGACACCGGCAGCGCGAGGCGCCCCAAATGATCGGCAGCATGGGGACTCCCCTGACGCGGCGCCAGTCGGAGCGGGTCATCATGTGCCCGATGCAGAGCTGAGCAGCCCGGTCGGCCGGGGCGGACCGGACTTCCCCTCGTCGACCCCCATAGCTGCAAGCGTTCTCAGGCGTGACCTAGCAGTAGCTTGCCATTTCGATAGTCGTAACCATACGGTTCTAACTTTCACAAGGTATCACTGAGCTGAGCGACTTAAGGTACCTGAGTAAAACGATTCCTATCACGTGCCACGAAGCTTGAACGCGCCGCTTGTTGGCGTGATTTTCTGTCAGTGTCTGAGGATACCACATGTGTCTCTAGACCCTTCATACAATTATTTAATAAAGTCATTATGAATGCCGCTAGGAGAGAGATTATTGTATACGTAAGTTGTAGTAATGTAAGGACACAGTAAAAAGGCACCTGGTGCCTAATAAATATTTTTCAGTCTGCTAGAGTTTGTTTTTTAAGAACAAAATGTTAACACATTGAGCGCAGAAGAAATTAAGCTCCTATTATTAATCATGGAAAGTGATAAGGTGCATTGCACTCAATGTGTTAATATTGTGGAAGACAATTGTTACATTGAGAGACTGAATGGCTCCTCTGTAAATTTGGAACTATTTCCTCTGGAGCTTGTTGTAAGTTAAAGGGTGTTTAATAAAGAAATCGTTTCAGATGGCAATCAATGTGGCCATTGGAAGCGAGATGAATACAGCTTCCTACCAAACTTAAGATGGTGTACAGAGGAACCTAGTTAGTTATTGTGTTGAGAGTACCTACTCATAAGTTGTATAGTGTGTTGATATTAATACTGCCAAAACATGACTGACTGTCCAATTCTGTCATGGATGTTCTAATATGTAACAACTAATTATATTTATTTTGATTGTGTATGAGTATGAATGTGTGTGTAATTAAGTGTGAAAGGATAGTATGTCTGATTGAAGCATGAGAGAATGGAGTCTTTAATTAACTCAGATTTGTACAGATTATTATTTGATTAGCTCATTTCAGGCTCGTTTCGATCGGATGTCAAATAAATATTTCTGAACACTCCGCAACATTTCGTAAACGGTGCTTGAAACACACCATTATTGCTCAAACCAGAAGTTGTGCATATTTTGCTACATAAACAAAACTGCTTCATAAGTTGCAATTTTGAGGAAGCATGTTATCCTTTTTTAACTAGCATAATGTATCCATGTTCACAAGCATGTTCCTATAGAAAGAAAAGGAGGAAATGAAAAAGTATTTGGGTACAACGAGCATTCATTTTTTAATTTTAGAAGCACAGTCAGTACTGAACAAATTTAAAATTGGCTGTTAGTTTTTAATGAAACTAGAACAACCAATACAAGAACAACAATTTTTTTTAAAAATCCGTAAGGGTTTTTAGTAACAGAATCAACATTGGTTAAGTTATGTAAATATTTGCCAGGCTGAAGAGAAAATTGATCCTTACTTGCATCATTGAATCTGATTGTGCCCCAGAAATGACAAG